TCTATAACAATAATTATATACTTTGGTGAGTTAGAAAAGATAAATGGGGGTAGGAAAACAGGGCAGAGCAATGTTTATAAGAATGAGGATAGATACCTTTCTTCAGATTATTTTTACATACTCATGAATTACAAAGTTATGACTTTTTATGATTTTTAACGGCTTGAAAAAAATAAACTCATTTATCTTTTAAGCTAATTTCTTAAGGAGTTAATTTCCTTCCTAAAATAATTAGAATGAAATTTCAGTTTCTTTGCAGTGATTTGACCCATTTTCCACTAATCATATAAGCATTACTGGTCAAATCTTAGACTCCTAAAGAAAGCAAAATGTAAGAATACTAGAAAACTTTATCCACTGACACAAATTATCTCCATTGGAACTTTCAGCTTGAAACCCAAGATTCTTGTTCATTTCAGTTGAATGCTTCTACTAAGCATTAGATGACATTTACTTATACAAATGAAAGGTAGAATTTCAGGAAAATCTAATCTAACATCCTCTAACATTTATCATTTCAAGTGACCCACACTAAAGTTACTGTGCATACACTAGCACTCTGACACTCAGAGGGGATATCAGCTAGCAGTTAGGGCTCTTCACTCAAATACCTTGTAACCAGCAAGGAAATGAGTGACCAGTAGTCCATGTACATCAACAAACAATGACATCCTGAAATGGAATGGCTATGACTATCATAGCCTGCACCTCATCTGTGTTCAGGGTAGCCTTGGGTAATAAGATGGAAAACAGAAATATTAAAGAAAACGTATCTGTAAAGGGGCTTTTACTAAATCATTAAAGCTGCTTTTCCATCTCCCTGTTAGTAAACTCTTAATGGTTGAAAGCATGGAGGCCTAATGACAGGAGATGGACATGCCACAGACAGAAGTGGCCCTTGGACTCTGGAGGTCACTGTGGGATGGTGCGTGCAAAGGAATGTGCATCCTTTTTACATCTTTGTTCCAGTGGACATGGTCCACTGGCAAATCCTGTTGCACTAAGATCGGAGGGCACAGATAACCCAAACATAATCTAGACATGTGGACATTGTTTTTATGACACGGCATTTGGAATCCAAAGTGCACCGCTCTCCCAAGCCTCTCAAAAAACAAACAAGACAGGTTTCTTCTAACATGTAGAACTCTAGATCTGAAAGTCATTCTTATTTTGTCAGTTTTTAATTCTGTCTCTGTTGTTATTGATTTCAGTCTATTTTTCTTTGTCTCTATGTCTCACTTTTTATGTCTGTATCAGCTAACTACTTATTCTTGCAGAGGTGTTATGTTTCTATCTCTTAGATATTCTGTGTATACTACCTATAGATAGTTGTCTATTTAATATATATAAAACATGTAGGATTTATGCACAATCATATGTATGTATGTTGTTATATGTATATAGGTATGCATGTATCTATGTTACTCATAACCACCAAGCATATATAACCCCCAAGTAAAAAGGAAACCCTTAACTCAATCTGTCATTGAATGGGGAATCTATTTTATCTTCCTTTTATAGAAGAAGACAGTACTAGTTTCATCAGAAATAGTGTGAGGGTAAATTAGAATTTATGCATGCTTGTCCAGATAGACTTGATGCTTTACATGGCTTCCCTTTACATGGTTCAGTCACAATCACTCTGTCAAAAACTTGGGTTCTCTATATCTGCTCTTGGTATTCACCTGGGCTCTGCCTGGTACTACTGGGTACTACTGTTATTTGTTAACTTTGCACTGTGGGTTCTGACTGTTCTCTACCCCCTTGCCTGGACTTGCTTTGCCTCCCAGAACCATTTTCCCTGGAGTGCTGATTTCAATGCCCAGAAGTCATAGGAAGGTAGTTTCAGTTATTCCCAGAACCCCAGTTATTTCTAAGACCTTCATCATTCTCTAGTGGCAGCAGATTCAGAGCAGCACAGAACCCTTCTTGGGCAGCTTCATAAAGTATATCTGGGCCTCAGTGCCTTGGTTGTTAGGCTCAGGTGCTTCATCTTTAGGTCTCAGAAACCTCCAGAGGCCACAGAAGGTCATATCCCCACCTCTAGTGCTGCCACGTTGGCGGCAACTCCCACGACATCCTAGTGCAACCAAAGGAACTCAGATTCTACTTCACAACCTAGGACACGGTAGAGGCAGGGTGAGCACAGAGCGGGTTTTCTGATTCGAGCAGACTGGGGTAAAAGAGGTGTCCTGGAGCCCTTGGTGGATTTCTCAGGCTTTATTGAGCTTTTACATGTAGAGCAGCAACCAGGTACACAGCAGGAAAGGGTGCTGGGGGCCCAGGAGGCCAGAAGGCCTCCAAGCCCCCGGCAACTCTTCACTCTGGGCTACTCTGGCCTTCTTTCTCCCCTTCTTTCTCCTGTTCTCCCTCCTGCCTCTGCTTCTCCTGGCCAGTATCTCAATACTGCACCCATGGCCCATAGAAGTAAATAACACTACTTATAACAATGTAACAGATGCAGGTACCCCATTAGGCAGGGCAATCCTAATGGCAGGAGGGCAGGAAAGCCTGAAAATCATTTACCCTACAGACACCCAATCCTGTTGGCATTCCTGTTACTCCAATCCTTAACAGATGCACTGGGAGGAATTGATCTGCAACTCAAAGACACTGCTGTGCTTTCTCATGCAGATACAATTTAATGAGCATATCTAGAACTCTAGGGCCCACAGAGGTAATGTGGTTTGCCTTATATTTGGTGAAAGAAGCAGTGTTAAATAAAAATTTTCTTCCAGATTAGTAAACCTGCATTAGAGGACTTCCTGAACCTTCTAGATGATTAAGGCAAACAGTATAAGGTGGACTCAAGATTATTTGGCTTTACCAGAGGTGGGAAAATGACCAGCTGCATCATTTAGTTTCAGAATGGATTGGTCAAATCTTAGGACATTGTTTTAGGAAGGGCTAAGGGGTATGGATTTTGATGAGCTGGAATAAGTCTGTTACTTCCTCCCATACTCTAATGCTTGATTAATCTCATTCACACTCACTGAATACTGTGAGATAGAGGATGCTCTTACCAAGATTGCATAGCCTGTAATCACCTGTAATTAGCCCACGTGCTGTTCTGATCTGTATCCAGCCTAGTTCCAAAGGCAGGGTCTAGATTTAGACTGTATGGATTCAAGTCTCATGTTCTTATGCAAATCACTTTTACTTGAGCTTCAGTTTCTAATATAGAAAATGGAAATAATAGCTGTAGGTTCTACATGGAATAGAGAATAGTGCCTGGCACAAGGAGAAACTAATACTAGCTGTTGTTATTATTGTGATTGTGGCCAGATGGTCCTCATGGACCACTGATGTCCTAATGTGTAACTTGTCTCTCACTGGTACAGACCTCAGAACTCTGTCCATCTTCTTTAATCTATACTGCTGGGTAAAACTGCCATAGGAGTTTTAAGAGAACCTATCTTGATATTCAGAGCAAACTTGCTGTAAGGCAAGTCATACACAAGGAAATTGTCACAAAATAAGAACTGAATTTCTATCAGGACACCCAAATTTACAGCAATTTCGGCAGTTGCCTCTGCTACCTCTGGGCATCTCCACATTATTCCTGCAGTACCTTTGGGATTCTGGCAGTTGGTCATATTATATGCTTTATGGACCTCCAGGATGCCTTAGGTAATGAATACAATCTCTAACACTGCAGAACACCCTTCAAGGTGGATGCTAGGCATGCCCTTTTATTTTTTTCTCCAATTTTTGCTTGTGAGAGCCTGTCATTGTGTCTCATACTGCTTCTTTTGTCATTATCACTACTTCATGGCCCTGTGGTGCTGCCGACATCATTTGCCTAGAAGCCAGGCTTTTGTATGCTTTACCTACCTACTGCATTCTAGAATTGCTGTGCATCTTACTCTTTAAGCTTCAGTGAATTCAGACACCCTATTCTCTGAAGGCTTCTCAGCAGCCTATCCCCACATCCTTCTGCTCTTGTCCCCACCCTGCCTGCTATCTGGCCACTGAACCACTCCTGAATCTCGTTGGCATAGCCCCAGACATAATTGTTTGGCGCCCATGCGAACATGTCTTTTAGTGTCACTGTAGTGGCAGGAGGACATGGAGCAGGATCTCTACCATCCGAGCAGACAGATGAAGGAGGAGTGAGTCCTGGAGCCCTTGGTGACTTTTCAGGCTTTTATTGGGATTTACCAGGTACACAGCAGGCAGGGTGCCAGGAGGTCCGGAGGCTGGCAGGCTTCCCAGCCCCCAGCAAGTCTTCACTCTATCTGGGCTCTCCGACGTTCTCTGGTGGTCTCTGCTTCTTCTCTGCTTCTTCTGACATCCCCGTGATGCCGCCCTTCTAAGCCCAGTCTTAGCCCGGTGAATCCCATCTACTTATGCTCACACCCTATTCCAGGTGCCCGCCATCAGGCATGCATTCAGGACTGCAGATCCATCAATTCTAATGGTAGGAGGCCTGATATCATTTACTTACCCTACAATCACTCCTGGTCAGATTTCCCCCAGGGCATGTAAACACCACTAGGATGGTTGAATTGGTGGTTTTGAAACCAGGGCCGCTCAGTACATGCAACCTGTGGGGCAAGGCTGGGTCTTTCCCTCTGCAGCCTAAGTGGTGGAAGCTATTGGAAAAGTGGTGGCCATTTTGCACCCAGCCGTAGAAGCTGCTTGTGGGCAGTGCAAGTGGTAGGCATTTTACTGCCGGCACCAGTGCCCCACTGGGGCTCAGGCTGAAGGTAAAGGCTGACAATGATGGCAGGCAGCAGTGGTTCCCCTACCACACTGCTCCAGGGTATGCAGCCCCTGGCTTAGGGCTGCAGGGAGGAGCACGGCCCTCCCCCCACCGAGGGGCCAGCCTAATGCTGTGGCTCTAGCAGCAGGCAGTAGAGAGGCCCATGGGTTTGGTGCCTGGATCTTAGCGTGGAGCAATCAGGTGTGAGCTATGAGCTGGTTGGGGAATGGTCCAATCAGCCGCAGGATTGAAAATCATCCAATCAGACTGGTGGGAGGTTGGGGGAACCCTGAAAGAGGTTGTAAGTCAGAGCAGGCAGAAGCTTGGGACGCTCAGACTCTCTTGTGGAAGGACTCTGTTTCTAGCCTCAGGAGAAAGAGGAAGCATGTAGCAGCTGACTGCTGAAGAAAGAAGAGAAACTGAGAAGCTTCGTGGAGAAGCAAAAGAGCTTTGCAGAGGCTGGGGGCTGCCACCCCCTGGACATGCCTAAAAAGGAGCACCCAGCTTAAACAGCTGTTTATTGTTGGTGTGGGCCAACAGCTCACAAGCTGTACTTTCCCATGCCACCCAGCACTTTGACAGGTGACCAGCTCTCTGTGTTCTGGTCACTTCTGAGAGTTAACTGCTTCTGACCCCGACACTGCATCCCAGTGCTGTTGCCTCCATTGCTGTCTGGTCCAACTTCCGGTATTGTCCATCCCAACCTTCAGACTGTGGCTGTGGGCTGCTGCAGTGTCATCGCAACGGCCCCCTGCTGCAAGCATCTCCAGCTGCTGTGACTTGGATCCTGGCCTGCTGCTTGCAGGTGCCGGTTGCTGCAGGCCCTCGTTGGCAGGAATGAGCCATCTTGGATGAGCAGCCTTTTGTTTAGGGCTTCTGGACACTCTCTGGGGTAAGTTAGCTGCCACCTGTGGCCTTAGAAACTCTTGGTTTCCCCTGTTTTTTAAATAACCCCCATTGTTGTTGTTCCCTGGGCCAAAGTGGTCTTGCAATTGTGTGCATGGATGAGAACCCGCAGACAGTTGCCTGTCCTCTATGGCTATGGTCCTTTGGATGCTGTAGTCCCCCCTCTTTTTAAAGATTTATTTATTTATGCATAGAAGAGATAGGGTACAGGCCAGAGGTGCAGGGCTGAGAGGATTCACCAGAAACAGAGTAGGGAGCAGAACAGGCAGATCTACCAAAATACACTGCTGAGAGGAGCAGCGGGCAAGATAGGAGATGTCTGCTGCACCATGTTTTTCACCTCCCTGGCCCAGGATCGAATTGGTGCTGCAGTGGCTGTGGATAGCTTCATTTGGCAGTGACTTAACACCTTGTGCCACCAGGGAGGCCCTATAGTCCCTCTTTATAGCACTGAAGCCAGCATGTGCTGTTCTCATTGCTGCTGCTGATTTTCACCGTTGTCTAGCTGTGAAAAGCCAGGAATTTAGCTCTTGAACCACCAGTTTCTTGACCCATGAAGCTGTAAAAAGGAATTTGCAGGCTTTTTAGACAAGTAAGCAGAGAGAAGCAAATTTCATTTAAGAAAGTAGAAATTTTATTTAAAGGAAGAAAGCAAAGACTCCCAGGTACTCTGTACCTGGGAGGGTCAAAGAAGCTTTTATGGAACCATGTCTAGGGAGCAGTTAAACTTTTTCTCTATTCTAAAATCTCATCATCCTCTTCGTGATTGACTCTCTCTCCCAGTGGCCACACTCCTTTAGGCAGATGTGTCCATTTTCCCAGCTCTTATCTTAGAGTTTCTCCTTTACCTCCTCTGTCCAAGTTCTCTTAACATTTATTGTCCTTGTTAGTCCTTCTGGATTTCTCTGCCCTCAGAAGCATATTTAACTCCCAAAGCCCCTGCCTGCACTGTCCCATTTAATTAACCCTAACTTGCCTTAGGACTCAGCACTATTTCAGTTTTAGTGCCTATCATGTGCCTGACAGCTATTCCATGTGCAGGGACACACAAAGACAGCACAGTCAAAGTCTTAAACAGCTCACATGGCAATAGAGAAAAAGCCCCATAAACAAGCCAATCAACAAACATATGTGATACAATTTCAGATAGTGGTAAATGCTGTGAAGTACATAAGTAAGGTTAATAACACTGATGGCTAAACCAGATCCTTATGAGGAAAAGGATGCCAGCCTCACATACCCCAAATCTACCGGAAGAGGCTTTCTTTTATAAAAATATAATAAATTACATTTCTTTGTTGCAATTGATAGAATATTGAGTCATCTTTGTGGAACTGAAGATAGAAGTGTAGCAAATATTTAATCTACCTTTATGTAGGTTTCCTCTTGGGAAAATTTGATGTCAGATCCTTAAAGGTCATGGTTTGGCAACTTAGACCAAAATATTACAATGTTGTATTGGAATAATTTTAAAAGTGAATTTACTCTTGGGATTCTTAATGCTCATGTCATTCCCAGAGTCAGGGTGAGTGCTTGCAGTCCTGACTCATTACTCATTACTGTATGTTTCCATTGGTGTTAATTACCTGCAGGTGTCTTAATTTCTCCCTTTAAGAAATAGGGGTTTCACCTGGTTTAATTCCAATTAACCTGGTTTAATTCCAATTATTTGTTTTCTTTATGAAATTTGCCTCACAGCTGGAAATATTCAGGTAAATTTTGACTCCATTTAGATTGTGCTGCTAAGATAGTAGATTTGGGGAGATATATTTTGCAACCGATTGTTTTGCATTTTATTGCAAGAGGGTAACAGTTTCAAGATGATTTGTATTTCAAAAACGGTGATGATAATGGTAAATATAGTATAGTGTTTTTTGGCTAATTACTCCCAAATAAAAATACAGTTTAAAGTTAATCCCTGTGATAATATATTTCTTCATAATTGATAGCTATAAATATATGCATTTCTTAACTTGGGTTGTATATAATGGGGTTATAATCAATTTAGGGCCCTACCTTTTTTTTAAAAATAAAACTTTCTTGATTTACTGTTTTTTAATACTACATATATTTTAGGAATATAACCTCACATCTTGATATGTTTATATATAGGGCCATACTTTGAGAATTGAGGCAAAATTTACATACAATTAAATGCATGGTCTTAATTATAATATCCAATGAATTTTGATAAACATCCAATGTAACTATTGCCCCAGTCAAGATATAGAGCATTTCCATCATTCCAGAAAATTCCATTATATAAAGCACTGAGTCTGTGGTATGTAGACTATGTTTGAAAATAAAAATTACAGTCAGAAATCTGACTTATTCATGCCAATAAGTTAAAAGACGCTTGTACAATGTATTAATGAATCCTAACTAAAACCATTTCATTGACATTTGCTGCCATTAAATATTGTCCATTTCCCATGGGTTTATCAGCAGTGCCCAAATCATTTGGGAAAAACTTTATTCCTGAGGTAGCAAAAGCTTTCTGGTTAATTTAACAATGCCCTAATTATAATAGCTTCTTATAATTAGTCCAAAACAGGAGATTTCATTTCACTGACATAAAACATGTCTATCATCTGTATCTTCTGGGTATAGAAGGCAATCTGGATTTTCCTGTTAAAATGGGATGAATGCCACCTGAAGAGACATGGACTGAAGCGAGAACTGCATTTTTTTTCATTCATTCAACAGATTTAAACTCTTCTAATGTGCTAAGCACTGCTAAATAATGGGGTCACAGCAGTGATCAAAACAGAAAATCCATCTCCTCAGAGAAAAGTGACCAACAAAACAAAAAAACAAAATCTACAAACAAAAACCCATCTAAAGGAGACCAGTAATATGTTAGGTGATGGGAATTAGGAAAACAAAAACAAGGGCTAGAGGGTGGGTAAAGGATGAGAGTTATTTTAGTGCCATCATGGACAGCCTCTCTGGAAAAGTGACATTTGAGTGGAGGTATGAGAAAAAAAAGTAAAAATGTGCTTAAATGTAAAAATGTGCTTAAGAACTGCAAGGTGATGGGAATGACTGAGGCAGAAGCAAGGGTATTGGTGAGGAAGAATAGTCAGATCATTAGATTATATAGGATGTTCTCAGCCATGGTAAGAACTTTGAGTTGGGAATGTGGGAGTTGTGTGGTGTCTTGGTGTTTTAAACCAAAAGCAAGTGAATTTTATTGGGGAAGTAGCTTACCTGAAAACAAAAGAATCTAAAATCTTTCCCATCATTTACAGATACGGAGTATCAAAAACTAAGGTTGATCATAGAGATACTTAAAAATTATATCTCTACATAGGTTTTTAAATTAAAATTTTATTGGAATAATTTCAGACAGAAAAATTGCAAAGATGGTATGGAAAGTTGCTGTATGCCTTTTATCCATTTTCCTTCACTGTTAAATTATCAGTGTTCAATTGTCAAGCCGAGAAAACTGACATTGGCATATTACTAATAACTAAATTTCAGATTTTATTTGGGTTTAATTGGTTTCTCCATTAATGTCCTCTTCCTGTTCTATGACCCAGTCCATGGTACTATACTGTGTTTAGTTAATCCCCCTCCCCCTAGTTTCTGGTCTGTGATAGTTTCTATCTTTCCTTATTTCTCAGGACCTTGACTATCTTGAGTATTGGTCATATATCTTATAGAATGTCCACTAGTTTGGGTTAGTCTTGTTTTTTCAAGATTAGACTAGGACTTTGAGATTTTGGAAAGTACACCACAGGTGAAGTGCCCTTCTCATCACCTCATAGAGATACTGGATATTCATGTTACCTCACTGGTAATGCTAACCTTCGTTACTTGGTTGAGGTAGATTTGTCAGGTTTCTCCATCAGATCTCCATCATAAAATTAATGTTCCCTTTTCCTATTCTAGTCTTTGGGATCTAGTTCACCAGAAGGGAGAAAAGGGTAATGGGAATTAAGCTTCTTTGGAGGAGAAACACAATCCTGTTTATGCTCTAAAAGGGTCAAGTTGTGTAGAAAGTAGATAGTAGGAACAAGAGCAGAAACAGGGAGATCCACGTGAAATGGTTGCTTAACTAGTGTGAGAGTTGTGGAAAAGAGGAAGGTGGCTGGTGCTTAGTAGAGTCCTTAGGTCTTATTTGCCTTTCTGCCTTAATTGCCACCTGGGCAATGGTCATTGGTAATGATGACAATATTTTTACTAATTACATCACTTCCTGGAAGGACAATGTTGGGTATCATAGTTATTTCTGACCAATTTGCATGCATTCTCAAAGTAAACCTAACGGCTCCTTAGGTGAAGCTACAAATGTCACAGACTTCAAAGAGAATTATTAGCATAAAAAATTGTAATTAAGGCTAGGGAAATTAATTTCTTCAGCACCTTTGTATTCGGCCTTGTTTTAGGTGCTTTATATTTATTGTGGATATGAGTTTCAAGGCCCACGAAAAAGCATGAATATTACTATTTTTCTAAAAGCCAAGTTAAATTTTATATTAAACCTTCACTTTTTTATGTAAAACTTTTCCAGTTATATCTATGTCCACTCAGTGCCTTTGGTCATCACATTAGTCATTTCATATTTAAGACCATGCAAATCTGGATTTCCCCTACTTTTCCCCTGATATTGATCCTTGATCAATGAAATGGCAGAGATTAGAGAACATTTCTGTAGCTATTGAGGATAAGATGGCATCTTTTTCTGAATCCTTATCTGTTGAGATCTTGTTCCCTCTCCCAAGATTTATAGCTAGTTGGCTTGGTCTTTTGCCATACCCCTCTCCACACTGACAATTTAGTAGGGGGAAAAATGCATTGTTATTGGCTCCCCAGAAGGATGCATGCTGTATCCTTCCTGCAGCGTCCCCTAATTCAGCCTTGAGACCCCCTAAAATCTAGCAGATGCTCTTCGAACAAGTGGTATTCAAGTCCCCTCTCTTCAAGGATCCTCAAACCTATGAATGTCCCATCATTATTCTCTAGCAGAGCCTCTCCTTCCTG